ATGAACATTTCCACATATAAAATAAATAAAATATCCAAAAACTTTTACCTCTAAATCATCTATTACATTATACACGTCACCAACGAATTCATACCGCAAGCATTACGAATACTTAGTATCAAATATTTAAATTATTTCCATGCACGTTTATTTCAACTTAAACGTATACCAAATTCCTACAAACATAAAATTCACAAAATAACTATCATTTAATTAAAATATCACTAAACCATGTACACGTCGACTTATTTTTACTTAAAAAAACATCCCAGAATTGCACAAAAATGGCATTGCGCACACTCTTCACTATATCCATGTACACTGCTTTTTTCTCATAAATTAGAAAAATTTCACGAAAATACATGACAATTTTCTCAATCTTTAAACCCGGTAAAAAGAACATATATGAAATTACCTGATCGCGAAAAAGTATTTACCCTTTACAAATATGAACATTTCCACATATAAAATAAATAAAATATCCAAAAACTTTTACCTCTAAATCATCTATTACGTTATACACGTCACCAACGAATTCATACTGCAAGCATCACAAATACTTAGTATCAAATATTTAAATTATTTCCATGCACGTTTATTTCAACTGAAACGTATACCAAATTCCTACAAACATAAAATTCACAAAATAACTATCATTTCATTAAAATATAATTAAATTCAAAAACACTACTTAAAATATAAATGAGCACATACATTAAATTAATAAAAATTACCTTACAATCCTAATTACTTTAAACTAAATCATTGCTAATAACAATTTTCCCAATAATACCAAATTCATTTCCACCTTACATTTTGAACAATGCATAAAAATAATATCCTCAAATAATTAAAAATACTAACTTACCTAATCTTCTTCAGAATCTTGATTATGTGGCGGATACACTTTTCTAATTCATTCCAATAAAATTATTGAAAGATTTTTTGTGCGAATTTTTCCTCCATACTTCCTCCGCTAAATAAAAAGCAAACTTCTCTCTATCACAATGCCTAAATACCCATTTCGAATTCACTTTATTTAGGGCCATGGGACCCAAAAATTAAACAACACTGTTTCACACAACACAGGATAAAGCTAAATACAAAATATCCACATTTTTTCCCGATTTCCCCCCTTTTCCGATTAAAGAATCGTAATTCGTCCATTAATATCACATGACATATCCCATGATCTCTCATTTCCCTCACGCAAAATAATGCGTAATCGGAACTGAGTACTGCTCACATTATTACCAAAGTCCCAGGTAGTAACCTTTATCGCCTCCAAAATGTCGCCAAACTACCAGTTACCATATTGTAAAGATCAACCGTATCATCCAATTACATTTCTACACTACACAGCTATGTTTTAGCAATGCACAGTTTTATTCCTATGCAGCATAACTATCAGAAAAATTGCAAGATCTATTGGCCACAATCTAGTGGGTACACTATAAGACGTACTAATAAACAAAACATACCTGTATACTTAATATTGCTAACAATAATATATCTAATTTTAAAGTAATTTTGATTTATTATCATATAAAAACTACAAAAATGAAAATTTCCTCAATCTATAAAGAGTGATTCCAATCAGAGGTAAAACTATATTCGATGGTGTCCCCTTGACGAACTTGGCGATTTTTGGTGGTACCTGGACACAGAGTTTATGCAATTCTTTGATATGTTAGTTTAGCTTTGTTTAGCGGCGATTTTCGCGCCAAAAATCGCCACTAAATAAAGCCAAAATAACAAGTCAAAGAAATGCATAAACTCGGTATCTATGTGCACATCGACTTATTTTCACTTAAAAAAAATCACAGAATTGCACAAACTCGACACAAAAAATATATAATCTCAATAAACTGCGTTTTAAATTAAACAATGAAATAACATAAAAAAGCACTATGCACTATCCATCAGTCAAATTCACGCAATCAATTACGTCTTAGTAGGGTTTTCATAACATTCAACTACTCAGGTTATTATAAATGAAAAAACAACTTGGCGATAATCCAACAGACACCCTTTACTCAGGTTCCCATAAGTGAAACAATAACTTGGCGAGGGCACCATCAAATATAGGCTGGCCCCAATCAGATTCAGAAAAGCATTGGCATGTAACACAAAAATGGCTGTTATAGCACTGAAGTCGAGTCTGGATTACCAGAAAACCAGTACCAGCATTGGTATTTGATGCCAAATCAAAGGGCATCATTTCTACACTAGAACGGCGAGCTTCGCAAGATAGGTCTTCGGCAGTTGGCAGATGACATTTTGTATTCCTACTTTGCTGAGTTTACATGGCACTTCAAGTACCAGAAGGGAAGATCAATTCCGGGACAACATAATTTCCATTATGTATGTATGAGCAGCAGTGATCAGATGCTGGCGATGAGATGTAAACAAAAATACACAAGATGAAAATTTTGTTGCTTATGTGACATATGTTTTCAACATTGTTCAGGATGACGGCCATCTTTGAAACATTGCTTCTTGGTGCCATTCTTGGCATTAAAAACTCGGCAAAAATATCAAGGGGCACCTAATTGTAAATTACGCAATAACATTGTTTCACATCTCAAAACTCTTAAGATCAAAATCTGAAACTTATTTTTCAAAGGTTAAACAAAATAAATTTTCATGAATTTCTGATTGCCTCCACCGAGATGTTGAAAGTAACAACTGAATGAAAATTCATTGAATGAAAGAGAATAGTTAATTGAACTCTCAAATGACACTGGACTTGAAATGAAATTTCAAGCAGAGGGTATGGTTAATTGGTGGACCTCATTGACAGAGTGAATTGTACAAGTATGTGCGAAAAATCAAAATCCAGTTTACTTCTACATATCTGTGTCGAAAGGATTCTCATCACTATCTCAAACAAAAACAAAGGGCTCTAGTGTAGAATTGGGTGCCCCTTCGATTAGCGACAATTTTTTTTTTTAATTTTGCCAATGAAACTTCATTTCTGGTTACTATGATAGTTTTAACTTTGTTTTAGCTTCCTGATTTTTTTTAAATGAAAATAGATTGATGTGTATGTGGTCAAATTTAAGGCAATGCGCAATGCCTAGTTTGTGCAATTCCGGAATGTTTTTTAAGTGAAAACAGATCGATGTGTACATGGACACAGAGTTTGTGCAATTCTTTGATTTTTTATTTGAAGCCATCTTGAAATTGTGCCTTCCTGGTGCTGATATTGGCATCAAAAAAGAATCGCCAAGGGGCCAACAAGGGGCAGCCAATTGTAAACTTTTACCAAATAAAGTACCAAAATCAACTTGTTCTGATTTCAGACTTATGCTTATCAATGTCCATTAAAACACAGAACTGCCATGTGAAAAATGGCAGGCTGATACACCTCATTAACGTAACAATACTTTTTTTAATTTTTAATTACTAATATTAATTACCAAGAAAAATTTTGTTCTGTTAAATTACTTAATACCAACATAAAATTAAAACAATTTTAATTAACTGTATTTTTAAAATAGAAGTAAGCTGGTAGTAACGTATGCCAAAAAAACAGCTTTCTAAGAGAACAAGAGTAAAGTGTCCCTCAGAATTCTAATTTACAAAAGTGGTCTCCATGTGAAAAATGTTTCAGCAAAGCTGCTTTTAACTCATCCAAAAGATTATTTTATAGCACAGCTTTTTTTAAAGACATTCCAATCACTTTTTGTTTTATTTCTTAACAAGTAATTATATTATAGACACATACTTGTATTCTTATAATAAGCAATATAGATAGTAACCTGAATTGTCCAATATAGCAATGTAAAATTATGATTAATTATTTGATACTTTGATATCAACTAATGATTTCATTCTACAACATGCTATATAATACATTGTTTATCATAGTTATAAAGAATAACAAAGCAATCTGGTATTGCCAGAATTTTAATAACTATACAAAGGAAGCACGTGCTCATGTGATTCAACAATTAAAAAAATGCTCAATACTCTAGACATTAATACCACAAATCTCTGCAACATAGCAAAAAATCATCAGCAATGAGTAATATCCAGCTCACATATCAAATATTTCACTAACACCCTTAAAACGATGATAAATCACTGCTACAATAGTCTTTAACGAAAATCTCTACAGATATTAGTCTAACCACTACATCTTACTCTACACCACATCTTACTCTAACCACTAGTACTATTGTTTCCAACTCGTTTATACAACGAAAGCAAATTGGTACTTTCAAATAAATTGCATTTACTTCGAAATGGCATTTTCAACTATCTTTTGTTCTTCTTAACTTCTAAACACAAGTTTCCAAAACGATATTTTCAAATAATTAACTGAAAAACAGACGTTTAAGCAAAAGTTTAGCAAAACTACAAAACAACAATTATTTAAAAATTTCCTTTGAAATTCTATTCCATAAACGTGTTTAAGTTATAAGCAATAATTTTAACTGTACAAAAACAGAGAATGATGCACACATTCTGTAATATATAATGTTTACTCCATAATTTCTTAAATCCATATAAGTGGAAATGCTTAATCTCAAAATAATCGAAAATCAAAAGTACCAAAACACTTACGGATTCTTAATGCAGTATTCGAACGTTCCGACAAGGAGGATAAAAGAAAACAACAATCACAGTTTAGCACACTAATTTAATTACCTAAGGTACCGCTAAGTCATTAATGAGTCAGTAATAAAAGTGCATGGAAATATTCGAATTTTAACATATGTATATATTATAAGTCATTCTGATACCAAAAATACAATGACATGGGCATACTAAGACACACAGAAATGGTATTTATGTAAATAACATATCATAGTATTTAGATCATATGTACATATAAATAAGAGATTGGGGGGGGGGGGAAATACATTTAAAATAAATTTTGAACGTCGATGTGCAAATTTAAAAGCTTATTTTAACAACTCACGAATGACACTTACAATTTAAAGTAGCATTTTACAGATTACATAATTGATTTTTCTGTTTTATGTACTTACCCATTTAAACAAATCTTATCGTATTCATGTTTGAAAAACAGTCATGAATAACGGACACCACCAAAAACCTACGTTTGACGCACGCAAACCAGAGAATTCTGTAATTTTTCCACTTAGTAAAAGCATCTGCAGAGGAGCCTGTTGCCATTCATAATTGACTTATACTTGACGAATTATTTTGGCATTTAAACCTCAACAGGACCTTTAAAAAGAAGCTTTTCAATCGCAAAATAAACATGCTCACTCAACCTGCTTTGAATTGAAGAATTTGTTCAATAAATATGAAATCTACAGTCAATTGTTACGCATAAAAATACTTTTATGAGAGAGTCTAAACTATTCAGGTTCAAGTTAGCGAAATACACTGAAAAAATTTATCTTTTCTTCAGCGGAAAGCATTATTTAATACCTCAAATGCTATAATAATCCGCCAGAAATATAATAATAAAAGGAATAAAATGGAATGTCATTATGTCTGCGTCCTAAGCTGGAACCAAGAAGGTTAGAACCTCCTTGGATGCAACAGATACCGGTGTCGGTGTTGAGAGGGCGCTGTGATCACGTACGATGGAGGCAGGATCTTAGAAGAGCTCCTAAATTTTCAAAGAGTTTTTTCAGATAATGTTCATCTACTTAAGAAAAATTTTCCCGAATATCCCCTACATTGTCTCGTTCTCAAATCCGAAAGATTTCCTGAACCTATAGGTCTTATCTTCTTTGTAACCTTTAACAACACCAAAACGGAACATTCAGATAAGTAGAATTTCTTTAAGCTAAATCAAATATCTGTCACTAAAGTACCTTTAAACCCTTTGTCACTAAAGTACCTTTCACTTATTTATTATGGTCATTATTATTGTGCTCATTTTAATATGTTCTGGCATTAAATACTTAGCAATTGCTTTAAATCATGTGGTTCTTTTTTTTTTTTTTTTTTTTTTTTTTTTTGTTACCATTTTGTAGGGACGCTATCCTTATCAGTAGCCCTTATCAGCAGTGTAGTCTGTTAGCGATACCCATTGGGGTGCCTTTGAAGAATTTCTTGAGAGGAGAAAAACACGATCTTGGCCTCAATGAATGTATAGATTTGTAGTTTTTGCTCCTTTAATCTATATTTCCTATGAAATTAAATTAAAAGCATATATTAATACAGTGTGCCTCAAATTGATAAAATAGTACACATGTAATAAATTATAACCATTAACTTAATAAATAAATAAAATGCTTATTTTTTTAAAAAAATTAATTAATATTAAATAAAAAAATACTGCATTTTATTTATTTATTTATTTTTGCTCATGTGTTCTCGCCTTGTTTTAGATTTATGATTTTATCTGATAGTGTTTTCTGAGTATATGAATATGTTGGATACCGCAATAGATGTTACTTAAGTTAATGTGTAATTTTGCATGATATTATATGTAGCTTGATCTTATGTGTCTTCTGTTACTGTGTCTCAAGGTAGAGGAAAACATATTATTTCCCATGTTAAAAAATAAAAGTTTAATTTAAAAATTTTTAAATTTTAGTTTCCCTGTAATAGCATAAGTTAGCTTCTAAACTAGACTTATACTGTTATGTTACTGGACCCCCAATATTTACATTTTATTATTAATTTTCCCCCATCTTCACATCTATTCAGCTTTACAAAACACACTCATTACACACACCTGGAAGACTCTATTTAATGTAAATAAAAAAACTTCCTTTGACTACACTCATGGACACAATCGTGTTTTTTTTTTTTTTTTTTTTTTTTTTAACAAAATTCTCTTACTTCCTTTCCTTTTCTTTCTATAGGCCCTTTCTTTTTTTTTTAATTATAAATATATTTTTTTTTCTCTCCATTACTTTTGGGCTATTTATTTTTTACTTTATTTTGTCCCATCTTTTCTTCCTGGCCTTTTGAACTCGTATAAAATGTACGAAGTTCCTTTTTACTCTCCTCTGAAATACGAAATTGCCCCCCTTTCTATATACCTTCCCTTCGCACCTATGCTTGATTTTTCGCCCATCGGTGCAGAAAGACTTAGCAGGTGCAACAAAAGACATCTGTCTACTTTGTCTGTCTGTCTTGTCTATCAGATACCGGTGTTGTGAAATGAACTGAAGTAATAAGTGGCGCGAGGCCCTGCTGTTCGTGACGTCCAAGGTCCGTAGAACCTAAGGACCTTGCGGACGTCAACCTGCGTGCTTCATGGACCTTATAAAAAATAGACTAACCCGAATGAAAATAGACTAACCCGTTTTCTCCCTTGTCTGAGCCGTTCCCGGCTGTCACCTTGATCACATCCGGAGGAGTAGGGACCACTTGCAGAAATTTAACAGTGGTTGCCTATTGCAGCATACATAATTGTCAAGAAAAAGCTGGTTGTAGCGCCTCATTCCACAAATTAGAATTTCTACATATTTTTATTATTGAGATTGATTTTTAAAAATTTAGCATATTTATCAAGCATAATTAACATTCCAAATAATTATAAACCTATTGCATGCTTTCAGGGCTGGATATTTTTTTAGCTTTGCCTATGCTGTAAGGAAATTTGTAATTACTTCTTTTAGAAAATAATATTTTTAATCTGAACTAATAGAAAATTTCAAACAAGCAATTTTCTCTTGCAATTTTTATGCTTTTTAATGGTGTAAATAAGTAAAAAATACTAAAATATTTAAAAGCAAATTTTTGAAAGTTTTGTTTAAAATTCTAAATTGTGCTGCTTTTTTTAAATTATAGATGAGTATTATAGCACAATTTCTATAAAGAAATTTTATTTCAACTATATTTCATAATACATCACAGTGATAAACACTTTTGACCCCTTAAAAATTTGTATACATTTAATTCTAATAAAAAATTGCATTTAACCGTAATGATGAATTTTGCTTGTATTTTATAGTGATTATTTTTTAAATTTATTTTTTAGTTCCTCATAAGATTTTTTATTTGCTGTTAATTTAATTTATTAGCCCAAAGGGGCGGTAGCCCAGAAAGGCTGTTAGTTTCGAAGCGGCATTTTGCGCTGTTTTACTCTAAATGTCCGTGTCTCCTTGCAAATTGTTGTTACCAAATATTATCGCCCTGTATTATATTTAAAGAAATTAAATAATGAAGAATCTGCATGAAGACATGTATGTTTCTCGCACTGTGACAAAAACGACAGTATCTAGAGCCATCAAATTTTGAATAATGTAATCCTCCACCCCGAGCATGGGCATCTGGACGGCTGAATTTCGAATTTGTTTTAATCTATTTCCTATTTTGTAAAATTTTAACGAATTTTTGATTAACAAACTCAGCGAGTTCAGAGCAAGCACTGTACGAAAAATAACAGTTTTATCTCGAGTGCGGAAATTTTAAAGATATGCTGTTTTCAAATGTATGTGGTTTACGGGCGAAGAACATGATATTCAATAAATATAGGTAACACAACACGTTAAAAAAAGGTTTCTTTTGGACGTAATATAAAATCTGAGTGCTTCTAGATTTTATTTTACCTTTTTTTCCCCCTTCAGAAAATTTTATGCTCTGAATTTTATAAATTACTGAAATAAATATTTCCACTTTAATGTTAATAAATTAATGATCATATAATCAAATAAATGATAGTTTTGTAATGTTATTATAGTTTTGAAAATCACTCCCTGAAAATGGTCATTAAATCTTTTAAAAAATGTTACCAGATCTTGTTTAATTTTACCTTATTTATTTCAAAGTATCACGTACTGTCAATCTTATTTAATTTTACGTTATTTGTACGCAAAATTAAGTTCATAAATTTTGTGCCTAGAGTTTTTACCGTTTTACCAAAGTAAAGATGTTTGTACTAGAATTACGCGTGAAAAAATTGCGCAAAATGCAGTAAAAAGTACTTTAATGAGATATATTAAATCCTATTTGGAAAAACTGTGGCTTTCTTAATCTCATCACTATACAATGTATCACATTTAATAATTAAAAAGAGTTATGTGACACAAACGCCATAGGTTTCAGTGTTAAAGTAAACCAGATCGTCCCTACTCTTTCTTGCCGACATATTGGTGACGCGCGCCCCGCCTACTGGGTTAGTCTATCTCTTATAAGGTACATGGCGTGCTGTGTGTTTCGAATGGTTTGCTTGTAGACAGAACGAAAGATGATCTCGGAAGCGTAAGACTGGTTTGATGAAAATAAAGAATGGCTTATTAAGAATTTTTTGTCTTTATTCATAACTAGGTGTACCCGCCCGGCGTTGCCCGTGCATTTAGAAAATGCAGATAAGTGAATAGCGCAGGAATAGTAGTGTAGGACATGTAGACTGTCTCTCTCTCTTCCCCCCCCACAAGCTACAAAAAAGAAATGAATTGTAATTAATCGATTTAATGTATCGTCAAAACAGCAAACTAACGCTAGAATAAAGAAATCAATTGTTACAATCGAACGTTATTTGAAAACAAATAATAATATCAGTGAGTCAAAAAAACCGTGATTAATTAATTATAAATAATTTTTAAAAATTTTTCTAATTCAAAAATCGAAAATCGGGCTTCGAGGTCTGGTGGCCAGCCCCTTTGTGCTTCCGTATAAAAAATTCCAGGTCCCTGCGTGCGATAGATTTGGCTGGAGAGCTCGGTCAGACAGACAGACAGACACATTACACTTGCTTTTATTATTATAGATGCACCCAGCCTTGGGTAGAGGCAGCCCGAAATTGAATGAACTGTTTTGAATATATTTGATTTATATATTTTCTGTGTTTTTCGTAACATAGTGGTACCCTAGGTGGGACCGGCTGCTATGAATTAGTATTTTTCGATTGAATTTTTGATTTTGAACTTCGATTTTGAATATACTTTGAAGATGGATTTGATCGCTTTAAAGGCCCAAAGAAGAGGACTTGGAATTGCGTTTTCTGAAACCTCAAGGAAAACCGAACGTGAATTAACTAAAGAAGTAAGAGATTTAAAAAATACTTTCAATTTTGAAGTGTCAACTTTGTGATAAATTCCAGAGACTTGACGTATGTCAAACTGCTATCTCGCAGCAGATTTTGCAGACTAAAGACGGAGAAAAATTATTTATTGATGACTTTCAAGAAGCAGAGGATTACCGAGATAAGTTTCTAGAACAGTGT